AAAAAAAAAAAAAAAAAAAGCCTTATGAGTCAAATATTTCTATTATGGAGACCATATTTGCTATGGCACTTTATAGTTTGTTCAGAATTCTAAAAATGTATCCTACCATAAATGTGCACATTTTGCATCAGTGAAAAATACTTGCTATAGTTACACTTGGTATGGTCACATAAAAAAATCATTGGAAGTTCAATATAATAAAATGCATTTGTTAAATAAGCATTTAAAATCTGACATAATTTTTAGCCTTTTTTTAACATACAAAAAAAAAAGCCTCAAATAATGGAATTGGTTTTGAACTTGTTGGTCCTAACTGCACCAATGTGGCTGGTTGTTTTGTACTCATAAGTTTGTTTGCTTCCTGCTTAGGGTGATCCTGGACTGCCTGGGAACCCTGGCTATCCTGGACAACCTGGTCAAGATGGTAAGCCTGTGAGTACTGAAAGCTTAGTCATCTCCGGTATATCTGGGATTATAGTGTCAAAGTAAAAGTTTTGCCGAGCAAAGTTAAATAGGCAAGGAAGGCTTTATTCACGACTGCTGCCATAGGAAGCAGAGACTGAACTCAACTCTGTTGAAACAAAGGGAGCTAGGGTGTGTGGGCACTAGGACAAGCTAATGGAAAAGCAGTAGAGGACTCTGGATGGGAGGTTGATCAATAGCCTTAAGCACATTGAGTTATTTCACAGTTTGCAAATGTTTGCCTCTGTGAAGTCTGCCTTTGCTAATTAGTGCTCATCAAAGTTAGGCACCTGCCCTCCCTTAGACACTGGAAGATGGTGGGGGCACTATCCTCTTTGATGATTACATTTCAAAGGGGTAGCTCACCCGTTCTTGAGAAAGACATTTCTGGGCTATAAAACTGGCAAGCAGCTTTTTAAAACATTTACATCTCAAAGGAACAGAAAGAATTTACAATTGTAAATTCTCTAAAGCAAACGCTCTAAGGAAAAGGGAGGTCAGAGATTCAGTCAGGAAGAAATCTGCCTCAGTTTAGTCAAGCTGAGGAGAATGTTAAAGCCAGTTTGGCAATACAGTTAATATTCAATAAAAAATATTGTCCAGTGAGTTCTTAGTATCATGAACAGCTCGTTTTAGAAATGCTATTGTCTTTTTCTCCACATGTCTGTGGAAGCTTTCAAGTTAAAAACCCTTTTAAAGGTAATGTTATTTTCCTGAAAACGTATACACTGGAATATATTTATAGTCTGACTAAAAATATAATATCCTCTAAGTCTTAAGGAAACTTCAGAGATGTAAAGGGAACATAAATCAACTTTAAAGCATTTTAGGCAAATATTTATAGGTGAGTTACTATCAGCATGTTTATAAGAGTAAACAAACATTAAGAATTAGCTTTTGGCTGGGCATGGTGACTCATGCCTGTAATCCCAGCACTTTAGGAGGCTCAGGTGGGTGGGTCACTTGAGGCCAGCAGTTTGAAACCAGCCTGGCCAACTTGGTGAAACCCCATCTTTATTTTAAAAAATACAAAAATTAGCTGGGTGTGGTGGCACACACCTATAATCCCAGCTACTGAAGAGGCTGAGGCACAAGGATCACTTGAACATGAGAGACAGAGGCTGCATGAGCTGAGATCATGCCAGCCTGGGTGACAGCGTAAGACGGTCTCAAAAAATAAATAAATAAAAATAAAAAATAAATAAATAAAAAGGAATTAGCTTTTGAATATTTGAATGTCAAATCATAATTGTCACCAAAATAAAGTATTTCCTGAGATTTTATCACGAGACATTAATTCTTACCCTGAAAGAGTGGGAATGTTTCCATTGTGAATCAAAATTGTTCAAGGAATGAAAGAACCATAGATATAATGTGAAATCATCAATACCTTAACCATGAGGGTGGAAGAGTTGCTTAAATTCCTGAGAGAATTTTCCTAAGAAAAATAACAACAACAACAACAACAACAACAACAAAAATAGCCAGATTTTGAAGAAGTGGTAATGTGCTGAGGCTTTTTATACTAGTTTTGCATGGGAAAGGGATGGATACAAAGGCAAACCACTCTAGAGAAAGATTATCAAAAAGGGAGGTTAATTATCCTTAGCAAACTAACACAGGAAACCAGGTACCACATGTTCTCACTTATAAGTGGGAGCTAAATGATGAAAACATGTGGACACATAGAGAACAGTACACACTGGAGCCTATTGGAAGGTGTAGGGTGGGAGGAGGGAGAGGGTCATGAAAAATAACTAATGGGGGCCGGGCGCGGTGGCTCACGCCTGTAATCCCAGCACTTTGGGAGGCCGAGGCGGGTGGATCACGAGGTCAAGAGATCGAGACCATCCTGGTCAACATGGTGAAACCCCACTCTCTACTAAAAATACAAAAAATTAGCTGGGCATGGTGGCGCGTGCCTGTAATCCCAGCTACTCAGGAGGCTGAGGCAGGAGAATTGCCTGAACCCAGGAGGCGGAGGTTGCGGTGAGCCGAGATCGCGCCATTGCACTCCAGCCTGGGTAACAAGAGCGAAACTCCGTCTCAAAAAAAAAAAAAAAAAAAGATAACTAATGGGTACTAGGCCTAACACCTGGGTTATGAAATTATCTGTGCAACAAATCCCCATGACATAGGTTTACCTAGATAACAAACCTGCACATGTACCCCGAACTTAAAAGTTAAAAAAGAAAAGGAAAGCATACTTGGGGAATTTTTTTTTTTTCTTAAAAAAAGGGAGGCCAGGCTGGACACAGTGGCTTACGCCTGTAATCTCAGCACTTTGGGAGGCCGAGGCGGGCCGATCACAAGGTCAAGAGATCGAGACCATCTTGGTCAACATGGTGAAGCCCCATCTCTACTAAAAATACAAAAATTAGCTGGGCATGGTGGCATGTGTCTGTGGTCCCAGGTACTCGGGAGACTGAGGCGGAAGAATCACTTGAACCCGGGAGACAGAGGTTGCAGTGAGCCGAGATTACACTACTGCACTCCAGCCTGGTGACAGAGCAAGACTCCCTCTCAAAAGAGAGGCTGAAGGGGTGAACAAAAGTGGTGGCCGCCTGGAGGTGCAGAGGGTTAGGGCAATGTTGTGTGGTTGTTGGGGGAGCATTATTTTCAGCTCAGGCACAGGGAGTAAGAGTGTGAGGCCAATCCACTTAGGGACTTTGAGACAGAAAGTGATTTGTTTTGTGATTTAGAAGGATAAATATAAATGCTGTTTGGAGAGCAGATTACATAAGGACAAGAGTAGAAGAGAGGAGACTATGCGGGAGGTTGTTTCATGATTCTGAGTGGTAAGAGTAGCTTGTACTAGGGTGATATGGTGGGAGAAGTAGATTCTGGATTAGTTTTAATGTAAAGCTGACTAGAATTGCTGGCACATGTAGATATAGGGTATGAAAGGAAGAGAGGAGTCAAAGAAGAATCAAAGGAGTATACCTTGAGCTGCTGGGTGAATTGTGGTGCCATTTACTGCACTGGGCAAGACTGGGGGAGATATAAGTTTTATAAAAGTGTCTTAGTGTATTTTCTGTTGCTATCCCAGAATACCACAGACTAAGTAATTTTTAAACAAAGGTTCATTTGACTCATTATTTTACAGGCTGGAAAGTCCAAGAGCATGGCACTAGCATTTGGCAAGGTCATGGCAGAAATCATCACATGATGAGAGTGTGAATGAGAGGTAGTGGAGTGGAAGTAAGCAAGAGAACAAGCGGGTCAGTCAAATTCATCCTTTTTAAATCAAGAATTCACTTCCTTGGTAACTAGCCTACTCCCACAGTAATGACCTTGATCTCTTCATGAGGGCAGTGTCTCTAGGGCCTAACTACCTCTTAAAGGCCCTACATCTCACTACTGTTACAGTAGCAATTAAATCTCAATGTGAGTTTTAGAGGGGGAAAACATTCAAACCATAGCGGGGGGGGGGGAATTGGGACTATATTCTTGGACAGGTTTGAGGTGTCCAGTTGGGACTTATTTTCATGTAGATGCATGCAGAATCATAAGAGCAGATGAGATCACTTAGGAAAAAAATATAAATAAGAGAAGGTGGCAGGAGACTGACCACAGGGCTCTTTTACAGGGGAAAAAGAGGAAGTGGGTCTAGCCAAGGAATTTGGGGACTGATCAGTGAGATGGGAGGAAAACCAGGGAGTGTCATCCTATTAGGTGTATTATTGTTGTCAACAGATCCAGAAGAATCAGGCCTATAACTAGACCATTGAATTTGCTATAGGAGGGTATTTGAGGAGTTTGAGGAGTAGAATTTCAGGGAGGGTAGTACAAACAACAGATTGAAATGAATTAAGCAGAGAGTGGGAGATAAGAAAATGATGACAGTGAATATAGGTGCATTTTTTGAGAGATCTAAAGGGAAGCAGAGACACAGAGCAGTAGAATTGGGGCAGTGTTTTAAAAGTAGGGTTTTTTTTTTTTTTAAATGGGAGATATTGTAGTTTTTTTTTTTTTTCATAATGATGAAAATGAGGCAAAAGAAAAAAAGTCAAAGTTTGGAAGGTAAGGGGTATTTTCAGGAAGAAAATCTATAGGTAGGTTGGAGGGCATTGATTCTAGTTACAAAAGGAGAGCTTGTCCTGGATGAAGAGTGTGAGCAGTTAAATCTTTTCATGAGCTAGAGGTCGAGCCAATAGCACTGAAATAGCTATGTGGGCTATTTTTGGGGAATAAGTTGAGGGAATTGTCATAAGACAGCTTCTATCTGAATGGAACTGAATTGAGTGAATAGACTCCAAACTTAACCTCTTACCTTTTGCATTTATCTTCAACCCCCATTATATACCAACATTTGCCTTATAATTTCTCTTATAATCCATTCTTTTCTCACTTTACCTAAAGTCTCACATGACTTTATTGCATTTCCTCACTGCATTTCCTTAATCTCACTGAAGATACTTCTCTGAGGTCCTCTGTGAGTTTTGCTCTAATTATACTGGGTGAGCTGAGTTTTATAAATGTGAGCCTCCTTGGCTTGGAGACCCCTTCCCTGGAAACTACTTTTTTGTTACTGGCAGCTGAAGTGCTATACTGACTCCAAAGCCAATACGTTTCACACACTGATATCATCTGCTGATGCCTCATAATGACACAGAGCTCCCTGACAGCACTATTAAATTATTTATGCCTTCTTTTTAGTGATACAAAATCCCGGGCAATGTTTGGAGGTGAGTGCTGAGCAGGCCTTCCACACGCTATCAGCCCTTGGTTTTCTTTGTTAAAGTCTTCCCATGCATGCGGTACTGGAGGTGAGTTATTGTTGGCCTGATACGATGCTCATGGATATTACTCTATGACGCTGACTAAAGTTATAATAGACTTGCCTCATCTCATTCAGTGCATGCGTGTGTTTTGGTGCCTGTGTGTATGATTTTACACATAGATCGTCATGGTAGTGTCTGATAGTAGTCTCAAAGAAAAATGCAAGTGTGAGAGGAAGAATAATGGTT